AAACTGGCTAAATATTTTTAAACGCCTGTACAGTTCTACCTGGACACTAACCTGGGAAAGAGAAAGCTGCAATCTATAGAAACAGAGAAAGAGAAAGAGTCAGATTTAGAAAAGGCAAGCAAAAAAGGTTATCAAATAATTTTGCAATTTTATTTGTTAAAAAAATGCTATTTTCTGTAATGAATTGATTAAAAAAATTACTATTCCTTCCTATACGTTGTTACAATAATAAATTAGAAATGTTATTCTATTCAAATTCACTCCATCATCTAAATTCATTCTATCTGTACATAATATTTATGTATAACTTTTTTTTAAATTCTTCATTTCTCTCCCACCCCCAGAGGAAAGTTCCATCTCTTTTCAGACTTCAGGCGAGCTCTCTTACAGATTCAAAGCTCCTTATTCATAATGAAACACAGGACTGAAAGAAATTTACTTATTTTTCATAAAAATGATTTTTACAAAACTCTTCAATAAGTTTTAATGACTGCTTTAGTATGAATGTTTAACAGAGAATAGTCCTAAAAGATTAATCATCAAAATAACCTATCATCCAGCAGTTTGGTCTTGATGATCTTTAATTCACAGATTATTCTTTTTAATACTAAAGGACGGCTCTCTTACTATGTATACTTAAAAACAAAGCAAATTATAAAGTATTTGACAGTTTTTTACCTGTGTGCAAGATCCACAGAAACAAAGAAAAAAATATAAAGAGGTCTCATAAGAGGAGTGATTTCATAAGCGTCCTGGGTTTGGAAAGTCGCAGTCTCTGTAGCTGTGTTTACAATTAATGAATATTCTCCTATACATAATGTCATCCAGCCAAAGACAAACAGTACAGCAGTAGCTCCCACACTGCCATACAACAAGGTTATTCTGCTGGGGAGAAGATACCATGTTCCCAGACCACACACTACCCCAGCAAGAACAGAATGAAAAACTGTATTGGCTATGTATTTCTTGCCAGGAATTAGAAATCTGATGGTTTCAGCACCAGCACAACTTGTAAATTCATGCTCATCTTCCTCTGCTAAGATATCTGTGGTTAGCATTCTTTCTACTGTCATGGATTTGTTTCTGGCATACACACTTGTGCACTGGATGACAAATGCAGTGAAAAACATTAGTCCACCCGAAAGTGCTCCGGTGTAATAGTCTTCCAGGATGCCTAACTGGTACAAAAGTGTTCCTATTCCACCCAAAACCCATGGCATCAGAAAAAG